AAATTAAATAGGCATCATTTAAAAATACTCTTAATTATAAAAATAACAACGATATCATATGATGAATTGGTGTAATTTTATTGCTATTGCTAAGTGTCTTATGAATTTAAAGCATCAACTGTTAACCCAATACTTTCATTTAAAAAAATATATTGTTATAAGTATCTTTTTTGTTCTTTCCATTATTGTAAATTGTGTAAATATTTATAATTTTGGTGTGTCTATAACAATAAAAAAAATAACTGTACCAATGACACCTTGAATACACTGTGGTATTTTGGTAGCACGGATTGTTAGTTAAGTTTAGAGATGAGATACTTAAACCAAGTAAGTACGTACACTACGCACACATTCTTGTTAAACACGAAATCAAAGGATTTTCTCGAAACAGGATTACATTGAATAAAGGTGTTTTGAATTTAAGATTAAGGCGTCATTTAGTAAAACGTAAAGTTGTACACGTGCAAGTATTCTATGGTTTCAGAGCGGCCGTGTCATTAACACTCCTAACAGCCGTGCTTTTCGCACTACCGGCGTCTATAAAAGATGTTAACGACCGCATAGGAAGAAATCACATCTCTAGTTTCAATGGCCCACTTACGTTGGAGCGATAATGAGTGGGGAATTAAGCTTAAATGAGCTTAGCTTGGCTTCAAATGATTTAATGGATTTCTGAAGCTAAAGTCGATCGAAATTTCTCTTAATTAGCCGAATATCATATATCAAATGATACAAGTTTACGGAACTAGTATTATCACAATCGATTATTTATACAGCGTGTTGTTACAACCACGACAATAAATGAACACACGTTTAACGCTACTTGGCAATAATTATAAAAAAATATAAAACGTTAAAAAATTCCATAATTAAAAAAATATATTTTTCCAACAAACTATTTTAAAAAAGAAACAAAATTTGCAACATCCTATATAACTACAACTGACTGATTCATACATTCAGAGACTTTTTCATTCGTTGCCTCAAGGTCGCATTATAAGTCTCTCCTTCTAATAGTATGTTTTATCTCTTTTAAATTCATTCAACCCATTCATATGTTTTGTGACCTTTACAAATGAACTTTACGTTACAGTTTTATACATGAGGGTGTTCTAAAAATGTTTGTTTTGTAAAAATTAATAACTCGGTAAATATTGACGTTTAAAGAATGTAAATGCTTATTGCAATTTTAAAAAGTTATCTTCTATATGTGTGTTCATTTATTGTCGCGGTTGTAACGACACGCTGTATATCATTTATTATATTTATTTATCATTTATTTAGTTTAGATGTGGTTCAAGCTTTTTTTATGGAAAAAAACCGACTTCAAATATCTCGCTCTATATTCATTTTATAATTGATTTTCAGGAATTCCCTAAGTCTCTGGTTTCCGGAGCCCAAGATCCAATACCAATGATATTAATATGAGACCACATGGGAAGCACCAGCTTTCAAATAAAAAAGAAAAAGAATCAGCAAAATCGATTCACTCAGTCAAAAGTTCTGAGGTAACAAATATAAAATAAATACAGTCGAATTGAGGACCTCCTCCTTTTGAAGTCGGTTAAAAAGGGGCAAACGAGCAGGAGGCTCACCTGATGGTAATATATAAGTGATCACTGCCACCGTATAGGTTGTCCGACATAATGTTTTTCGTTACGCGATTCGAAAAGATCTCTTCCCCTTAAATAAAACTTTTTTTTTATGTGAAAAGTTGCCAAACGAGCAGACGGTTCACCTGATGGTAAGTGAATCCCGCCGCCCATGGACATCTGCTACACCTGAGGGTTACAGAGGCGTTGACAACCTTTTGAAAACTGGGCTCCGGCTACGTCACTCACCAGACGGAACGCGAAAGTATTTGTCATACGTTCACTTTACGCTGGTCTTCTGTGAGGTCGTGGTACTAACCCGGACGGGCCTGCCCATTCGTGCAACAGCTGAGGCTGCGTGGCGCTACCACTAACTCCATACATAATTTCACTCAATGCCGATACGGTAACAGGAGTAAACGAAAGGCCTTACAAACTAACAAAGGGTGGAAACGCTCCTTGCTGTCATAAGTCTTGATGTCAATTCTCGAGGGTGATCACTTTATATTTAATTTTTTTTAATTTAAGAAAGTGGCCAGTGAGCTGGCACCCGTAGTGTTGTAGATGTGTTGGCACCTTTTAATAAAGTGGGGCCCGGCTACCTTACTCACACCAGACGAAACGCTGAAGTAGGTATATAACACTTCTACTTTACGCCGGTCTTGTGTGAGGTACGTCTGGGTCCGTAGTTTTATTATGTTAGTTATTTTCGCTACTGTTGTGTGGGCCGCAGCCCTACCACAGTTAAGATCAGGTGTATTTATTATAGCAACCTACTTATTTATTATTTCCTCTCGCAATATTTTGAATTGTCGTGATTCGGCAGCAATCGAGGCGTCGAAACAGGCGCCAGTGCGCCCCCTCTCGTTAACCAGGTAAATAGCCGTATCGACCCGAAAATCTAGGTCGTGCCTCGAGCCCAGGGGGTGCAGGTTGCGTTCTAGTTGAAATTTTTATAGCTTCAACCGAACCAATTTCGACGATCAGCGGCGGCCGTTACCCTTTTGTTTTCGTTTGGAGTAAACGTTAAAGTCATGCATAAAAACACACACCAAGAAGGTTAAACAGACATTAGGGTGTTCTACAGTATTTGCTGATTATTAAAGAAAGTTCTAGAGAGTCATTTTTATAGGAGTCATCGCACTCGTACTTCCACAGATAATCGTTCCATTTAACAGGTAACCGTCATGTATAACGTAATCCATGTCTCGATCGTTAAGTACACAGGCATCGAAAACATGAGTTGAAAGGAAGTACTTACTTATAAAGTAGGAAGAATGGATCTGCTAAGGATCGCACACCTTTTTTTACCGCGGGAAAAATCCTTTATGGATTCCCTGCCACTGGTTCGGGGGAGTTGCAAACCCCTGCCGGGATTCCCACATACCCATGTGGGAATCCCGGAGACGGGTCCCCACTAAAAACCCACGTTGCACCTGTTTCTGTCGCATAGGCCGGGGACACGAGAATACGTGGACGTAAGATTCCACGAACCCGGCGTGGCTATGGCCTTTTTTGGCCTCCTCTTCTAAATAGTGCTGTGCCGGTGCAATTGGTACAGCACCACTCACGAGCCCCATGTTGAGCGACAGAACCTCACATGTCTGCCGCTCAGGGTGTTACTATCAGGGGGGAGGTTACGCGCGCAGACCAACCTCCTAGGTTCTGGTCTCCGGCGGCGGATTTCCAGGGTGACAGTTGCGTCAAGAATCGCACACCTACCTATAGTAAGAAAACATATGACATAAAGTACTTCATTCTACAATAAGCTTTGCCCAATTTTTCCGTACCGTATCTCGCAGCATCCAACGAAACTTAGACGGGTGCATAGTTCGAAAACAAACGCGTAATAGTTTAAAAAATCTAGCAAACAGCGGCTTTGGCGTGCAAATAATTATGCGTTATTTTTTACGGGATAAAAGGTTGCAAAATAAAAATTCTGTATATAAATATTTGCCTTAAACAGATGATACCTTTACTCATGTGGTTGTTTTGTCAACTGGCCCTTACGGCGTGCTGAGAGGAAGGGCTTTATTACATATTCAATGGAAACTTAATAGTGGATGTCTTCCAGCCGATGAAGATGAATTGATTTTAAATTAATTTTCCGATTAGCTATATGTTTGAAATTTTAAACCATAGCTGATAATCATGGTACAAAGCACGAGAATAAAAAAAAAAGGTTTTCTATTTAATTTTTGTTTCTTTATTAATAAATTTTTATATTTTTAACTTTGTGTACTAATATTTTTCTTTTTTTTTGTTTCTTATTTTTCAAACGATGTTTTATTTTTGTTTTTTAATTTTATATGTCCATCTCATTTATTTTGAATGTTCGTGATGTTCGTTGCTTGTCAAAATAAAGTTTATATCAGTGTCTATGTTATAAAAATATGCATAACGTTTCTAAACGAACTAAAAAGTGTAAATCGTTTCATGAAGCTTCATGTAAATGGCCGTGCAAATTCTAAGAAAAGAAGATTACATAAATTTTATTCATTCATAAAAGAAGCACTTTATTCCATTCGAAACCCAAAGTCCACTGCGGCGCAGCACAATGAGGGGCCAAACACACATACACACGAAGCATTTATAGGCGAAGAGCCAGTGCAAAAAAAGCTCTGAATTTATTAAAGCTTGGTTGGTTATAGCAGTTTTGTACATACACATACTGCAGTCAGTGAAGCGAACTGTAGAGTAAGCACCTTTGTTATTGAAGAATCGAGTTTGTTACATTGAAGTATAAATAACTGACTGCCGGGAGTTGTTCCATAATATGCCCAACCATTTTATTTTTGGTTAACATACGATTAAGTAACCCTAAAATAATTTTTAAATTTAAGAAGTAAATTTATTCATTGTACATAGGGCTGACTGAACAGCTATGTTCTTACAATTCCCGACTGAGATAACCATCATTTATATGTAATAAAGGGTGTCCCATAAGTAAAGAGACAAAACTGTTGCAATGGTAGCCACCGGTAACAAATCTGTCTAATTCGCGTGGTTTTGAGACGAGAATCGCTTACAAAAAGAGTAATTCAGTACTATCTGAATAATGGGAAATCCGAGGCAGTTTGTCATTTTTCTCAAGAAGGGACTACAAGAAAAAGTATCTACAGGATAATTAAACGGTATGAAGAATCAGGAGAGACTGATTTTAAGAAGATTCCGGGAAGGCACCGTACCATAGCAACAGATCGAAACATAGATAAGGTTTTTAAAGAAGATAGAGTAGAGAGAGAATCTGAATAACAATTTTAGCATTGGTAAATTAATTTAAATTCCCAACCTTATGATAACATATATGAGACGCCTGTTCTACAGTTCGCTTGCCTGACCAAATGGCAATAAATTAGCTTTAGTAAATTCAGAGCATGTTTTTGTCCTGGCTCTTGGTCCATTATAATGTTGGAGCGATCCGCGATATCGCCGTCTCTGTTGCACACGTGCCGTAACGCGTCCGTCCGTTCCGCTTCCGCAACGGAATTGTGGAAGTGGGTCGGAAACCCAAGGAGCGGCGCGATTCGCGAAAGTCGCCGGGGCCGTTTATTGCGCGAGATGAAATTATTTCTCGCCTTGTTTATTTCGTCTTTACGAGCGCAGTGTGATCTCAGATTACGTCGCCCACACCGCTCGTTCGATTAATACGCCGCGGCGAACAGCTGTGACGAGTTTCATCAAAGAATACAAAGTAAAATTAGTGCCTATAATTTGTACGGACAATCTAATCAGAGGTACGTGAAAAAATCACGAGTTAATCTTGCGAATGCCGATTCGTTGCCGACCCCTACAGTTTGTGCTGAGGTTTTCTTATCCAACAAACAAAACGCTTAAGTATAAATGTAAATACCTATACTTAATGCCCGGGCGGTGCAGTTGCTAAGTTTTTGGCGGCGGTGGTATTGGGTTCGATTTCCGCACGGGAAAAGTAATGGGGTGGTCCACGAATACATGTTACGGATATGCGTGCTGATTTCCAGGTTCAGCGATGTCGTCAGGAATGTGGCCATAACCATTACCATTCACAACATGATCCACAGGTTATGCAGAACAGACCAAGATAGGATAAGAGCAAGAGAAGTAAGAAGACCTCATTTTAATGCAGGTCTTATGTAATATATATTGATGAGCCGGCCCATTCATGGTATAGCGGAATCTGTTGCTTGGCTCTACTCCAGGTTAGGTATAACGTAAGTCTGCAATTGTGAAAAATTGTGGAGCCTAAAGTATTTTCTATAAAAATATATACAAGCTATTATCATCATTTCAGCCTATCAGAGGCCGCTGGTGAACATAGGCCTGTGGGGAACCACACACTGCCACGAAGCACGAGCCACCAGCGTCCATCGACTCCCCTATAACAATATGGGTAAGTAATTTACATACAATAAACACAAATATTACTTTTTCATAACATATATAGAGAGAGATAAGCAAGTGTTTCTTTGATTTCTCGGTAAATTCCAATACCACACAGCAGTAATAATAAAACAAGCGTGACCCTGATAGCTTAATAGAGTAATTGTTTAGTACTTTATTGTCTTCGTGATGAGCGACGGCAGCCATTAGGAAAACAAACACACCCGGCTAGGAAACAGCTGGCGGTGTCGAATTCTAATGGCGATCTATCAAAATGGGGCCATTAAGCACGGGAATAAACCGGCGAAGCGGTCCGCTCTCCAGATGCCGTTATGATTATATCGAAACAACGTCCGGGGGTGATGATGGCCCGTAAACGCGTCTTTACGAGCCCCAATGAGCCATCTCGGAGCGTTTAGTACGCAATCCGTGTACACGTCACGAGCCATTCGTTGTCACTCGGTCTTTCGGAATTTTGCCCCAATTTTCCAATCGATTAACCACCTGTCTTGCCCAACTCGAAGGCAAAGTGTGTATGTATGAAATGTCAAGAGTTAAAACCATAAAATATTTTCTTCTATTTCTATTTAGCTATACAAATATAAATACCCGCCACGGCTTCGCACGGGTACAATGTATTATAAATATAAACCTTCCTTTTGAATCACTCTATCTAGTAAAAAAACCGCATCAAGATCCGTTGCGTAGTTTTCAAGAACAAAGCATACAAAGACACAGACAGACAACGGGACGACTTTGTTTTATACTATGTAGTGATAAGGAAGTACCGTGATGTGAAACACCAAGATGAAATGGAAGTATTTATACTTTTAAGTTCCTTCCCGCGAGTGAGGCGACAGTTGGACCAACACCTCAACTTACAGGATGACAAGTCCTCAGGAGTTCCACTTATTCCCGGGTTGATAAATTTATCTGGTGAAGAGCTAGCTTAGTCTTGTTTAGACCACAACTTAAGTACTTCACTTTCAAAAATTTCTGTTTTTGGGTTCCTAACATGATGACGCTAACCTCAAAGGTAACCTTAATTACTTTAACATACATACAGCAGACAGTCATGACCATATCGGCGATCTATCTATACACAAACATCTTGTCTCTACCACGTAAATGCATAGATGCAACAGTAGTAGCTAGACGTTCTTCACCCAGACAGAGTTTTTGTATCAAAAAGAGACATTTTCCGACGGTGAAATCATCAACAGAACGCAATCACGGTCCGAACAACGGACAAGCTCTGTACAATTATCCAGCACTAGGAGGTCAGTTGGGTACGTTTTGATAATCACTAATATATAAAAATTCTCCACGTCGGAATCTAATCAACGACAAAGTTTTTTTCTTATGTAACATATATTTCGCAGTTGCAATATTATGGTCGTAAATGGTAGTTTAGATGAAGTTGATAGATTTTAGCACCTAAGAATTCAATTGTCTACGCGGACTTTACGATCATTTCCATAATTGGGTGGTTTTCCTTGTTTAATTTGTGTTTCCAAAACGTAGAACTACAACACAGGAATACTTTATTTTTTTTATTTTACTGAGCAATTACATAATAAAGCTTATGTAGTAAAGGAGAGTCAAAAAGGCAGAAAATACGACAAAAAAAATGTCACTCTTTTTGATATGGTTAGGACATCTTTTTATAAGACTACGAATAGCATCTACGGGAAATTGAAGATATCTAATCAAGACGAGTGCAAGCGGCTTTAATGCCCATAGAACTAGATATAGTAGAGTGTATTGAATTCTCAATACCCGCCTTGTTAACGGCAATTAGATGCACTCACAAAGCGAACAATAAAAGAAAGAAACGACAAAGCTTCATTCCGACTTTTCCAATTGAAGAAACTATTTCTTGAACACTAAAACTAACTTCGCTAAAAAATATTGAGTTTCTCGTTAATAAATATTAGTAGTAAGTACTGTGTGTGTGATGGTAATTAAAAAAAAATAAAACATGTCATAATACAATGTATACTTTAACTACTAGAAATGCAACTTCAGCGATAACATAAACCTAAAATAGACAAGTAATGGTACTAAGAGATAATATCATATGATAACTTAAAATAATTGTATGGATCCCTAAAAGAGTAATCCAGATTGATGATAATTTTGTTGAAATTAAAGACGGGTACGCGACTTATGCGCATCTGCGCCTCTCGTCGTATTTAAAACTGAACGTTCATTGTCTAAATGCAGAAACACAAACCGTACCTCACTAAAATTACAGCGCATGCTAAAAATAAACACCGTGCCAAAGGTCAACGGCCGCAGCTGGAAACCGCAACGTACTCGAGAGCACCGATATAGAGTCGATATACAAACGACGTAGAGACGATGTAGAGGCCGCCCCCGATCTAGTAGTTATAGTTTGCTAAGATCCAATTTTACCAACTGCTTAGCCATCGTTAATAGTTCTTTGCAATTAACAACGCTGTTAAATTGATTGAGTGTTTATAAATCAGACATTAATCAAAGTCTAGTCATTGTTAAGTAATTGATGGCGACCTAGGCGGTCTATCGACTAGTTAGAATAAAACATTCCTGAAAGTAATAATCATATTGAGTAGCACGTCGTTCTATGGAGTAATACACATATACAAATCTGGATCATTTTCTAATCAAATATTACGTTGGTATAGTCACTTGAATCAAAGTGTATAATGTGTCTCAATAGATTATGTTAATAGTTTGTTAATACATTTTAAAGAGCGTTGAGTAATAAACTAACAGATTATGGTGAAATTGGCTTCAACATGAATCTCTGAACGATATCTGTATGCAGTGAATAGAAAACATTCTCATAAAGTAGAATAAACAAACACACGCGTCGAATAGACAATCACCACTATTTTTGAATGACTGAATAAAACGCAATAAAACGCAAGACTATTCATCCATTCTGTACAAGTACGTACAAGACTGAGACGGGAAACATATCTAGTTAAATGTACATGAAACTAATTACGTTTCAGTATATGTATATAATCTCAAGTTTGACATACAGCTACTTAAATCTTTAGTGCGCAACTCGATTCCAACGGTAAATCTTGAAATAACAAAACAGCATTTCTATGTTAACTTAAAAGATTAATACATCCATCTGAAAATTTAGTTGGCCGATTATTAGCTTTGGCGTCACAGTTCCTGGATTCAATTTTCGTTAAGTAAATAATTTACAAGAAAAACCTTTAGTCCACTTTTTCTACAAATTTCAAAATAAGTTACATGCTAATAAAATCATGTTAAAAATAAGATAATGATAAACAGTTGAGTTCACGCAAGAACTTTCGTCTAGTATTTCGTTTGTAAACATGGGAGTGATTCATTTCTTCAAAACAATTTTCAGGAAGCTTCTGGCGAGCTAATTTAACAGTACGGTAACAAAAGTTGAGCAATAACAAATTTTCATGCATATGACAGCCAGCGTGACAGTGTGTAAATGCAAGTGGTGGACCAAAGCGATGATGACGGTACCGCTAAATGATGATATTTACAGTTAGATAAATAACAAATAGTTCTGATAAAATGGTAGAAACTTGAGAAGATGGCTAGCGAGCAGGCGGTTCAACAGAAGTGGAGTGATAACCGCCGCCCATGGACATTTGCACCACCCAACAACATTTGCAACACCCGTAGGGTTGCAGATGCGTTGCCACCGTTTAAAAAAAACGCTAGAACGTTAAAGCTAAACTTTAAAGCGGGTCCCAGCTACATCACTCACTAGACGAAACGCAGAATACACTTTCACTTCAGGCCGGCCTTCTATGTTGTCGTCGTACTTAACCGGACGGGCCTGTCGGGCAACACCCAAAGCCTGTGCCTGCCTACCACAATTTGTAATCGATTTTTTTTTGTCATCAATTGATTTTAACGTATCACTGACTATTTTTTTGCCTGCCTTAGTTTGTCTTAGCGATAATGATCACGAAGTTTTTAGCAAATGAGGTACAAAATAAAATTGAAAAGGAAATCCTGACTGAAGCTTTTTTTGCTTTTCTTTTAATTGGACCACAAATCTCGTGGTCTGGATCTCGTGGGTTTCATCGAAAAGCTTTTAGTATTCTTACTTTAAATCCGCGACAGTGCTTAATCCTAAATTGTCGCTTAACTGTGCTTTGTTTATTCTTCTTAAAGATTTCGGTGTTGATAAAGGAGAATTCGGTATTGATTATTGGAAACATTGGCATTGCGGCTAAGAGCCTTTCAAAGTGTCTGATTTGATCCGAGCTTTTGTGTTTAATAATGTAACCTTTTTAATTCAACTTACTTTTTTACCGGTGTCGGATAAAAAGTGATTACCGTTCAGTCAAGCTTAACTTTAATTCTCAGAATGGGGATTGTCCTATTTTAGCCAACCGTGGATGGTGGTTTGCATGTTCAGGAAAAAGCAGTTACACCGAATATTAAGATTATTTAAAAATTTAAAATACTATTATTTTAATTGTCCGTATTTATGCAAAAAGGAACCACCCAGCAAAAACGCACTTCTGAGATATTACAGGATTTACAAAAATATGTGCAACTCTGTTAGATGAAACAAAAGTACTATTTATTTTATTTTAATTTATTGATAAATTATGTATTTAAGTAAGTACATATAAATTTGCTCTGCACAGCCTGAAATATTCTAAATAATTAAGAAAATGTGCATGTGGTTCCTTTTAACATTTACTGATTTATAGGTTTTCTCATATACAAAAAAGAACCACAACCCAGCGATTTACTGATATAAATGAAACTATGTATTCATATTATCGTAATAAAGCTTTTATTCAGTAAAATATGTAAAATTTTACGTATAGAGAGCGTTTATTCGACATTATCATCAATTTGAACTTCGAAATCGACCATATTCAGTCCATATATAGCGACTTCTATTGTATTCACATCGTTATAATTGAGACCATTATAAAAACTCTGCATTTAGTGGCATGAGGTGTAATATAAACTGAACATCGGCTAATTTCGCTGATGATACTGGCTTCCTTGACGGCCACAGGGGAGGTAAATGTTTCGTCAACATTACAGCCGGTCACACAACTCTCAAGGAAATCTTTTAAAATAAATCGAGTTAGATGATTCTATTTTCAGGTATGTTTTTTGAGTTTATATACGATTAATACATTATTTATTAATACCACGTCTGTTACTAATACTTTTTTCAACCTTATAAGTTCCCATGTGAGTTTTTGGCATAACTGTTACGGTAAGCAGGTGATTTTTCATGCACTCTTTCATTACCTGGCCATAATCGTCGGGATTGTATAGTCTCGGATATTTCTTCATTGCCGTTTCAATGAGGGAAATCTCTGTCATTGGTTAGGTAGCATGTCCGAGTATAAAAATTGTGTTAGTGTTATTTTTTGAAGGTGAAATGAGGATGCAAAAATGCTTTTAACATGAAATTGAATCTTCTACATGAATCGCTCCATAAAATTAGATTCTCGAAATCTACAGAAATATGCTCGCATATATATTTTAAAAGACAAGAACCTAAAGCAACCCAGCCGTCATTTATGTAATGTTTTGGAGATCAAACTTGAGACTAGTTTCTTACATTTAGTAGCAAGAATAAAGTCAGGATTCGATTTTGAGCCTCTTTCCATTATCGGCAATGTTGTTCGCGTTCTGTATCTATGGCTGTTTTCTTCTCAGCAGGTTTGCAAGGAGTTAATTTCCGATTTTAATGTATCACACTTGTTACAAGAATCTGTTTTAAAGGCACTCGTCTAAGATTTAAATATGGGCCACGCATCAGTCTTCGCTGTTGCACGAATAGGTGGGTCCGTCCGGGGAAGTACCACGGCCTCACAGACCAGCGTGAAGTGGAAGAGTTATACTTCTGCCTTTCGTCTTGAGAGTATTGTACCCAAGGCCCACTTTATTAAAAAGTGACAACGCATCTTCGACCCTACGGGTGTTGCAAATGCCCATGCCATCTTCTTACATAAAAACAATATATTGCCTTATTGACCTTCTTAGCTTCTCCTATATGTACACAGTTTAAATCGCAGTTCTTACCTCCACTTTCCCATCCTATTCTATATAATATTTATAATTCTATGATATCACTTTAATTAAATCAGTATTATTGATCTTTGTAGAAACGCCAAGTGTTTTGATATATAAATTCAGTTACACCTCGACTTTTTCCAATAGATATTTACGAGAGAATTTATATATTTCGAAAGTAGTAAATATACGAGTACGTATATTACGTTGTTTAAAGGCAAGAGGCATCTAACAAGTTATGACATTTGGTACCTTTGGGCGATGATGTGTTTCAAAACGTTATATTGATAATGGAATCATATACTAGTGGTTCTACTATTTGACACAATGTATTTATACATGATGGAACCGAATGCTTGTGCTTCCATTTTGCAAAAAATATTAGAAATTAAATTATGAATTTATTTTACGCATAACGATACCACAGAATCTTGGTTCCATTTGGTATATTAAAAATGATTGTTAATAATTGAAATCTGCGAAATTTATAATGGAACCAAGTATGTGTGGATCTGTTTTGTATAAAATGACATGGTAGTAATATAGTTTATTTTTTTGAACAATCGAGTCCTGTTGTATTGTGGTTCGGTTTGGCTTTATATGTAATGTTCTTTATTGCAGTTGGTTCCTTTCTGCTTTTTGTATACCCTATTTTCAAGGGAAAAATCAAGTGGTTCTTTTTTGAATAAGAATTTAGACCACTTTTAAATTCAGTATTCTTAAAAAAAAAGAAAAACACAAAATTGTCGTGTGGTTCCATTTTGCATAAATATGGACAATTTCTTTAATGAAATGTTTCTTTAATAAGTAAATTTATTAATATTTATTGTTTTCTATCATAAACTATATGAATACTACACAAATCGAGCCGTGATAGTTCAATGTCCGGGCGCTGGCTATCAATTTACTCAAGCAACCTGAGTTTAATCGCCGGTGCCTGCACCAACGAAATTGTTAATTTTAAGTGCTGACTTATCACGTGCTCAACATCGTGAGAAAGAAGGGAAAACAGACAAAGAGACAGTAGAGTCTGAGTAATAGGGTTCCGTTTTACCCTTTGGGTACAAAACCCTAAGAGACCAGGAAAATTAGAAAATTAATGTTGAGAAAAAAGAAAATAAGTACAAACAATTTGCGTTAGAAACATTCCATAAAAGTTTTAAAAATGCTCTACTTTCTCGTGAATAATGTCTGCATTTGATATGACTTGTACGAAAGATACATAGAAGCTATTCATTCGAGCCTCGAGGGAACCGAACGCATATGTTGGCCGACGTTAAAGAGGTTTCTAAAATTCCATACGCGCTATAACTTTATATTGTGGTAGGTTTTAGTTCGTGGTATTTTGCATTAGAGGCTC